TGCCATGCCGCTGGAGCTGGGGCCACACGCTGCAGCGTTGTCAGCGGTGCTGTAGCCGGGTACCCCGGGCAGGTCGGGCATCATTCCTGGGCAGGAATGACAGCGCTGCTGGCTGCGTGGGCGTCAGGGCTGTGATTGCGGCACACGCCCAAAGGTGCATTGGCAAAGGGCTGGTTAACCGGGGCTGGGCGGGGGGGAATCACCGCTGCTGGTCACCGTGGGCAGTCCCGGCACATCCGCTTTTGCAGAGGGCATACTCTGCGGCTTTGCAGGGTGGCTGGCACCGTCTCTCCATCCCCAGCACCGGGGCGTGCAGTGGGTGCTGCCAGCGTCCCCAGCTCCCCTGGGGCTGGCTGGGATGGGGGGCGATTCCCCGGGCTGCTCCCTGTGGGGTGCACACAGCAGACAGCGTGCCCCCCTGCCTGCCCCACAGCGGGGCAGAGAGTGGCCATGCCCCACGCGAGGAGGGGGCTGTTTGCCGGCGGCGGCGGGCCTGGACGGCTTTGGGGCGGCGGTGCCTGGTAGAGCCCCGGCCGGTCCCACTGTGCATTGTGCACCCGGCGCCTGGCACCCGGCGTGGGGCGGCGTGGGCACCCCCTGAGACAGGGACAGCAGGAGGAGCTGGGTGGGGGTCCCACTGCCTTTCCTGGGGGGACTTGGGGACTGTCCTCAGCCCCTGTGGCCAGGGACAGCCTTGCTCCCGAGGGCTGTGTTTGGGGGGACAGGGCTGTCCCCACTGAGTGATCATTTGCTCTGCTCTGCCTGTGTTGCAGGGAAGCCACCGTCCCTGATGGGCGACAGCGTTGTGCCCCCCACCTCGCCATCCCCCTCACCTGGGGATGCCCTGCAGGGAGAGCGCACCCCGCCGCAGCGTGACCGACCTGTCCCTCCAGCCGTCGTCCCCTCCGGACAGCCCGTCTCGCACATCCCTCCAGCTGTCACCCCTTCCGAAAAGACCGTCTCGCCCGTCCCTGCAGCCATGACCCCCTCCAGGCAGCCCATCTGCCCCCCAGCCCTGATGCCCCCCC